ACGGAGCGCAAATTACCGTCTCTGATTCCTTTTAACATTTGAACATTAGTATGATGAAAAATCTGATTAAGAAAAATTTCAAGATGTGCCAAATACGTTTGCGATCTGAGAACTTTCAGGTACATTTTCGATATTTTTCATTATCATTTACATGTCAGTTACTTCTCTCTTGTAAAAAAAAATTCAAAGTTTTTTATTGCGTTTATTGCGTTTTCAAATCTTTATTTAGAAGTGACATGTAATTGTCAGATACTGTGTACTTTATATGAATGTTAGTTAGGGTTTTCCAATAACGGTCGTTTTTAGTGTTGTTACATATAAATGAAAATCAATAACCTATAAAAAATATTTTTTCAGACTCATTTAAAACAACAGAAATAAAATTCAAGGGCAAATATTTCGAAAACAAGCTCAGTGACCAACAATTTATTTACGCTTTATATATTTCTATTAAAGCCTTGTAAAATCGCGCAAAGTTTAAATAAATTCTATCATAGAGTTTTCACTCGTTCTACATGCCTAGATGTAACTGTAGCACACCCATTTACATCAAATGAAAAAGACCCTTGGCTGATTTTGATCTTAACTTCTGTCTAATGCAGAAATAAGTCACTGGAACAAAAAAACATTTCAAATGTACATTATCTAAAACTTTTCTTCACCGACAGCGCAATTCGATTTCTACGAAATAAAGCATCATCTAGTAGGTTTCTACCAAGTCTGTTTAAATATTGCTGTTCGGTTAAGATTGCCATGCCCGTGGCTCCTCTCTCTATATAAAGAGAAACAAAACTTGATAAAAGCTCCCATAAATATACAAAAGCTAGAGGTTAGATCTTTGGTATGACATTGCCTACCTCTATCAAGTTTGTTTCGAGTATTTCTTTGGAGCAAAAATTAGCTCTACATTAGGAATTACGATTTTAATGTGAAAAGTATTTATTATCTTTCTGAACCTATGAAATATTTGGCATGGAATATACAGTGTCTAGTGGACCGCTAGCAAGATCAATTTATAGCGTTCGGGTTAAAATTGGCTTCGCGCTGCGGTTCATTTGTCATACGCGCAAAATCTTCCATTCAAAACTAGCAAATACTAGAGCTTTAATATTCGGCAAAAACATTGATTACTGGGTCTGTTTAAAATTTGATCAAACAGAAGCTCTTGGGTCACAATTGACCAGGCCAGGGGTTCATGATTTTTTTCTTTTTCTTATTATAAAAAATAAACTTACAATGCTAGAATTTAGAAATTTTCCACGAAGAATTGTTAAATGGGTTGCTACAAAATTTGTTCTTATTGTCCTAAGGGTCAAAATTGGTCTCGTCCTTGAAAGTATTTAGTCACTGGTTTTACGTAAATGTATAAAATAAACCATTGCATTTTCTAAGCAATCAGCCACGTCCATAGAAACTATTGAACTATTGATTTCAAATCCAAAAATTGCTGTTCTTAAGCAAACATTGACTATTATTGTCGCAAATAACTTTTTATGCAACCGTTTTCAATACTTTTGTATTGATTTTTTGGTTTTGATGTTTTTACCACTATGTTGTGTTCCCTCTTTATCTTTGTTTGTATTATTGACCTAACAAAATTATTAAAAGACGCTTAGACGATTCCAGCTTGAAACAGATGATGTCCTTCTAATAAATTTTCTATCAGACCGTGTATTTTTATTGTACTATATATTATATACATGTTTTATTTTTATTGTAATATTTTCTTTATACTTTACTATTATTTCCAGCTTTAGATTACGATTTTGGTTTTCTTAAAAAAGATATTGCACATTTACCATAGACATAATTGTACATTATAACATTGATATGGAAAAAGGATCGCAACACTTCATAATTTCTTAAATGACATTTGGCTAGTTGAGTTTGAAGTTTTATGGAAAACCATTTGACAGTGTTATCATGTATTTTGTGTATAAATAACATTGCAATGAGTCTAGAGTTTCATTAAATTTCTTGAAGGAAATATGCCAAAATAGAACAGATCATTAATGATTATTTGTTTACTTTTCCACGGAAACAGCAAGAAGTTAAGTGACAATCATAACTTATTCACCCGATCCTTTACAAATAATTTAAGAATAAAAACAGAAACGAGTTGACTCACCGATGATTTTACGCATACGTTGTGTTTCTAAAAATAACATTATCTTCCTCTTGTTAATTCCTAGATTAAAGGTTGATGGTTAGTAGATAATGACCCCTTGTGACTAAGGGGTTGTCTGCATTGGGATTGCAGCCGACTTTTAACCCTGTGTGATCGAGGCGACACAATTTGTTTGAATTACTGGAATCTATGCATCTCTTAGGTCCAGGAGGTGATTTGGTTTAGAGCCCTGGTATTGAACTATTAATGTAAAAAATAATTGGAATCAAAACAGGTGCATCTTTCCATGTCTACATTTGACTCTTTTCATATTTGTTTTTTTGTGGGAAGAATTATACTTTCAATGTTTGTGTGAGTAAAACATGACTGTATGATTGAGACAAATGATCATTGTCTGTATTTAACCACATGTATATACTTCGTTAATAACTTCATCTAGTTGACCATTTTATGCCTTTTTTCTTGAATTAAATTGTATTCTTATTTGTAGTTCTATATGTCTTAATCAGTCTATACATGCAAATAAACTGTATGCTTACTTTTGATAAAGATATAGTGTGCTTCATATATTTTTAGCACTTTTAAATCCGTTTATTTCATATTCTGTTTTTCACAGCTACAAAACAATCAAATTGATATAAACACAAGAGAGGAAATAGAAAAAATGAAGAGGGATAGTCGAGCCAAAGCCATGGAGGAATTTACAGAGAAACTAGAAGATGCTTATAGTCAGGTATAAACAGCCTAATACCACACATATATACCACATAGTTAACCACAAAGTTTAATTAACGCAGTGTGATTCTTTAAAAACTTTGTTTGACTCTTTAATTCAATATATGTACTGGCATTGAGGTTTTATGTTTGGATTTTATTTTGATGTTACTTACTATACTAACCATGTCGTTTTATATCCTTTATAATATCCGTAAACGTTCTCATGTTCATTTTAAAAGGCAAAAGTATATAATTTAGTTTTTCCCAGTTAAAAATACATCACTTAAAAAGAAAACTTTTAGCGCTTATCTACTGGAAAAAAAATCCATGTAGTGAATGCAAATTTATTGGGCTTACCTTTACATTCACCTTTAGTTGTTAAATTGAATGCATTGGACTACGAATAAACTAATGTCCGAGCTTGTAAGGACTTAAATACATTTCGTCAAACATGTTACCAGAACTTATATTGCTGCCTTGGCGCTTTGATTATTTTTCAGGTTCAGACTTTTAAGCTCACCTGAGCTAGTTCAGGGTGAGCTTTTAAGAACGTTGAATGTCGTCCGTCGTCTGTCGTCCGTCGCCCGTCCACATTTGTTCGTTAACACTTTAGCGGTCACATTTTTGCCTTAATCATCATTAAACTTTGTCGGAATGATTGTCTATGTAATAGCTCGAATGAGTTCGAACATGGGACATCTCGAATGAAAAACTAGGTCACAGGACCTAAAAATAGACAAACCTCGTTAACACTCTAGTGGTCACATTTTTGACTCATTTGTCATCAAACTTAGTCAGAATGCTTGTGTACGTAATTGCTCGGATAAGTTTGAACATGGGTTATCTCGGATATAAAACTAGGTCACAGGAGCTTAAAATAGAAAAAAAACAGTGTAAACACTCTATTGGTCACATGTTTGACTCAATTGTCATCCAATTTGGTCAGGATTGTTATCTAGGTAATTGCTCGGATGCGTTCAACATGATTCATTTCTGATGAAAAACAAGGTCACAGGAGCTAAAAATTGAAAAGTCTTGTTAACACTCTAGTGGCTAATGTTTGTTCCAAATATCCTGGAAATTAGTCTGAAAGTTTGTTTTGATGATTTCTAGTTCAAGTTCGAATATAGGTCACTTGGGGTCAAAAACTAGGTCACGCCGCCTAAATATGGAAAAACCTTGTTAACACTCTAGTGGTCACGTTTTTGACTCATCAAACTTGGTCATGATGTTTTTCTTGGTAAATGCTCGGATGAGTTCGAACATGGGTCATCTCGGATGAAAAACTAGGTCACATGAGCTAAAAATAAAAATCTCTAAAAACACTCTAATGGCTTCTGTTTTGATCCCAATATCCTGGAAATTGGTATGATGTTTGTGTTGATGATTTCTCAAATATAGAAAAAAAAAACCTTGTTAACACTTTAGTGGTCACATTATTGACTCAATTGTCATTAAACTTGTCAGGATGCTTGTCTAGGTAACTGCTCGGATGAGTTCGAACATGTTTTATTTCGGATGTAAAACTAGTTCACAGGAGATAGAAATATCTAGTTAACACTCTAGTGGCTACTGTTTTGTTCCATATATTCTGAAAATTGGTCTGAAACTTTGTTTTTTATGATTTTTAGGACAAATTCGAATATGGGTAGCCTCGGGTCAAAAAATAGGCCACACAGGCCAGATATGGAAAAAACACTCTAGTGGTCACATTTTTTACTTAATTGTCATCAAATGTGGTCGGGGGGCTTAAATAGGTAATTACTCGGATGAGTTCGAACATGATTCATCTTGGATGAAAACTAGGTCACAGGAGCTAAAAATAGAAAAATCGTGTTAACACTCTAGTGGCTACTGTTTTGATCCAATTATCCTGGAAATTAGTCTGAAAGTTTGTTTTGGTGATTTCTAGGTCCAGTTTGAATATAGGTCACTTGGGGTCAAAAACTAGGTCACACTGCCCAAATATTGTAAAACCTTGTTAACTCTCTATTGGTCACATTTTTGTCATTAAACTTGGTCAGGATGATTGACTAGGTAATTGCTCGGATGATTTCGAACATGTTTTATCTCGGAGGAGATAGAAATATCTAGTTAACACTCTAGTTTGAACATCGCTCATCTCGAATGAAAAACGAGGTCACAGAAGTTAAAAACAGAAAGATATCGTTAACACTCTAGTGGCTACTGTTTTGATCAAAATATCCTGAAAATTGATCTGAAAGTTTGTTTTGATGATTTCCAGGTCAAGTTCGAATATGGGTCACCTGGCGTAAAAAACTAAGTCACAACGCCAAGATATGGAAACAACTTGTAAACACTGTAGTGGTCACCTTTTTGACTGCATTGTCATCACACTTGGTCATAATGCTTGTCTATATATATGTTCGAATGAGTTTGAACATCGGCCATCTCTAATAAAAAACAAGGTCACAGGAGCCCAATTTAGAAAAAAACCTTGTTAACATTCTAGTGGCAACTGTTTTGATCCAAATATCCTGGAAATTGGTTGATGATTTCAACGTCAAGTTTGAATATGGGTCACCTGGGATCAAAAACTAGGTCACACTACTTAAATATGGAAAAACTTTGTTAACAGTCTAGGGGTCACATATTTTTTCACCTGTCATGAAACTTGGTCAGAATGCTTGTCTAGGTAATTGCTCTGATGAGTTCGATGGGTCAGGTGAGCGATCTACGGCCATCTTGGCCCTCTTGTTTATTTAAATGTATTGAAATGCGGATTTATATCATGTGTTGTTTTCGTTGCACGTATTGTAACTGTGTTTTACTTAAAGTTGTTTTAGTCGGACACTATCGTATTGAAAACATGAAACATCCTTTCTTTGAAAAGATTATTTTGATATACGAGATTTTGCATTTGATAAACAAACATTTTCAGCGGTTTCAATGACATAACTTATGAATGAACACCTTCATTAATTGGCATATAAGCTGACTTAAATTAGTTTTATTTAAATAAACATTCCATAAGTAGAATTTTTTGTTGACATATACTTTAGGATTTAAAACAGGTTAATACTGAATTATAGGTAATAACACATATTTTTAAGTTAATAAACATATTTAAAACTATACTCGTACATTGACATAATATTACTGCTGTCTGAGTGATAATAGTTGTAAATCATTTGCTGTAAATGAGGAACAGTACGGTGTTCCTTTAGTTCCATCGACTGTGGATGGAATAATATACGATTAAAGACGATAAACACGGATTGACGAAGACGAAATGCAAAATACTAATAAACAATGATAAAGATGAGCAATCGGAACATCTCAGCTATTATTCAAAATAACTTCGGACTAAATGAGTGAGACAAAATAAGTGTTGAAGCACCACACTAAATGCCGTATTCCGGTAGACACCGGACAATGCGCTTGAATGATCCAATACGCCTTATTCATCTGTTCATACCGATTTAAATACGATAATTAATGAAAAATGTAAAAAAATTGGCGTAAAAGCGATATTGTTCTATTTTGTCATGATCATTTTGATTTTTGTTAGCGTCAGGAGGAACTGTTCCAAAGCTGCAGTGAGTTATTTCGGATAAGATACGGATTTGAAGTGGTTCTACCACTTGATTTTAGAGGTTTATCTATTTTTGTAAAATTATGATTGAATATATGTCTTACAATCATTATCAATTTAAACATGACCACTGATGGACAACGATAATCAAATCCGAATAAATGTCAACATTTTTATTTAATTTCGGTCTCTACAACCATTATAAGAAGTATATTAAAATGTATAACTTACATTTATGTCTATAAATTTACGTTGACTTTGAAAGGATATATTGATATATTTGAATAAACTTAATCAACCACTCCCAGAATTAAATTATCATGTAAAGTTTGTTAGCGTGGATTTTGTGTATTCTTGCTATTGTGTTCGAGGTCCATATCCGCAGTTTGACAGAAAGGATTTTAAAATGAAAAGATACGATGACGAAAACACGAAAACTATTCATATTCTAGACGATAATTATCGAATTTTCGTCTTCGCATCTTCCTTCTTTTTCATCGTTTTTTCTGCGTTTACCCGTTTTTGTCTTTGTCCCTTGTGTTGTCGCCGTTCTGTTTGTTTGCGTTTTCGTCTTCGTACGTTGGTGTTTTCCCCATCCGGTACATGTCAGTATAATTATTTAAAGGCACATTGATTGCTCGCTGTCTGACAAAAGATATTCTATTATCATCAACGAGTCTTGACATGAACATTATAGCAATCATGTATTTACTATTAAATGATTTGACTTGATTCAATTTAAACTTTGTATTGATAGGCTGAACGGACGATCGGTCGATCTGTCAGTCTGTCTGTGCGTACGTACGTACGTTTGCATGTTTGTTTATCTACCTACTTAAGCTTCATTTGATATTATGTTAAGGATAACAAATATGATTATATAAAATAAATCTAAGAATACATTACATAATGCAAAGGCAGTTATTGCGGTTTTCAAACATCAATTTAATGTTTTGAACGTTTGTTAATAAACCTATTAAACAAGTTTGATAAATGTCTTTTTTGTTCCCCCATTTAGATTTACCCTTGTCCGTCCGTTCTCATTTTGTGTCGCACGTACCTCAAAACTTATTTGACCTAGAGTCATGAAACTTTACAGATATGTTGATCAGCATGTGTAGTGGTGCACCTGGGTAATTTCTTGTGGATATATTTAGTATTTTTAAAGTTATTGCCATTGACTTATAAATTTTTTCAATTTTCTACTTGTGTCGCATGTAACTCAAAAAGTATTTGACCTTGAGTCATGAAACCTTACAGGAATGTTGCTCAGCATGTGAAGTTGTGCACCTGGATATTTTCGTGTGAGTATTTTTAGTATTTTTAGAATTATTATCCTTGACTAAGTAAACAATCTTACAATTTTCAACTTGTTCGTGCATAGCTCAAAAAGTATTTTACCTGTAGGCCTGAAAGTTAACAAGAATGTTGGTAAACATGTGTGCTTATGCACCTTGGGTTCGCTTGTGAATTTATTCAATATTTGTAGAGTTCTTGCCTTTTACTTAGTAAAAGATTTTTAATTTTCAACTTGTGGCACATGTAGCCCAAAAATATTTGACCTAGAGTCATAAGATTGACAAAACAGTGGAATGTGGGGGCACCCGTGTCCTATGGATACATTTCTATTTTATATTTAAAACATACAGATTTAAATAAAAACTATTAAAGCTTCTTTGAAAATTATTTTAAAAAATCGTGTTCATTTGTTAGGCAATATTTATGTCCTGCACATGCGTACCGGAAAGCAAAAATACAAAAACACGAAAGTTCTAAGACGCAAACACAAAAGAACTAAACTGCGAGAACACGAACGGACGAACACACGAAAACATCAAAAAATGATGATGATGATGACGAAAACGCGATAATTATCGACTTGAGTTTTTATGGGTTTTTTTTGTCTTCCCATTTTAGGCGTCGTACTTTCGCGCATTTTCGCTTATTTGTGTTTCCGTGTTTTCGTCCTCATTTTTTGTGTATATAAACCGGATATTTTGTGTAAATTATAATGAAAAATCTTGACAAGAATGGTTTCTAATTTACACACAACATTCTGAGATTCTCTAATCTGTATCAGTGTTATATATCTTGGTCAGATTCTTAAAAAAAAAATTATCCATAAAAGCATCAATATATTGGCGAATATATTTTGTATACAATATGGTGTCTTTTATACTGACTTATTTTCTTTTCTTGTCTTTCAAAAATTGCTTCGGTAGATATCCAAAATGTAATTTTGATAAAAAAATGTAGCAATTTAATAATACTGCTTTTCTTTTTTGTAATATAGAACCGACTATTGAAGGAAAGGTTAGATGGTAAGTATAAGTATACTTTTGCCATGTTTATATCGCATTTCTTTTGCAATAAAACCAGGTAATTTTGAAGTGGGTTTTGTTTACCATGTCCTTAATTATTAAGTATATACAAGATGTTCCGAAGAGAGAGATATAGTAGAACAATCAGCGCGTTCCTACGGGGCAAGGATATGTGTAACCATGTAGAAGCAATTTGGATTTAAACTTTAGACCACTTTCTGACTAAATCAAAGGTCAAAGATATGTCAGCTGATCTGCTGTTGTAGCCATTCCTCAACAGTTACAACGTCTTTAATGCACTGTTAAATTAATATAGGTAAATAAGTTGGCATTATGGATAGCTCTGATCCAATGGTTAACAGAAAAGCAAGGGAAAGTCTAATATGCTTGTAAATCAGGTTCTTAAGGAGGCATTTGTAACGTGAATACTAACTTACGATATTCAAATATGAATTGATGTCAAACTGATCTTTGATGTTTAACTGTACATAATTTCCCATCCTCTTTAAGATCTGTAACAAAGTTTGCAAATTACCAGAATTGTCATCTAAAGCGGTTTTCACCAAAATTTGTTTCTCATACCCTTCTTTGATATTCCTTTAGCAACACAGTTGGTAGAAATATTTTGCCATTCTACTTGTCAAATGCATTAGTCTTTTATTAATGTCTCTTCAATTTTTTTTTAAAACCTGGTATAATATGTGTCCAGATAGCAACAGTTAACAAAAGATTAAATGTACATTGTTTCTTTTTTTAGTTCTTATTTTGAAATTAACAATATAATTTACATGTTTATCTTCTACTATAGCATCTTTATGTTAACAATTATTTAGTTTGTACATGCTTTCAATAGTTTATGTTGTGTGTAAACTCTTCTGTAAGCCTTGAACTGGAAAACTTTCTACAGATTCCATTGATATTTTGATTAATCCATGAATGTATGTTTCTTTTCCGTTTAGAAAAAATCAATAAGACGATGGACATTATGTGTGAGAAACATGACGGTACTATAAGCGCATGGCTTTGCATAGATCATGCAATCTCTTTTTGCAAATCTTGTATGGAAAAAGAACATAGGTAATTAATAATTTATGAGAACATACATTTACTTTATATATTTAATCATGAGTAACAATCTGATTTTACATCACATAGGGAAGATTATGAAAGAAAAGCATGTATTGTTATATTCGAAGATAATGCTTCACATAAAATGGTAGATTAATTTATCCAGATTCATACTAACATAAAGGTTTGTTTTCCATTGGTGTTAGCAATAACAAAGATTTAAAAAGAATTCCGTTTTTGTTAACTACGGTTTTACATTAGGGCCATCGCGCATGCTTGAAGAAAATTAAACCGCGAAAAGTTGAAAATACGAAAGAGCCAAGACGAAAACAATAAGGGACGGAGATGAACCGCAAAAAAATCGTATGGACAAAATGCAAACATGTAAAAGTACTATAATGAAAAGGCGTAGACATGGTGACAAAAACTCGATAAATTCACATCGATAATTATCACGTTTTTGTCACCGTGACTCCGCATCGTCATCGTGGTACTTTCGTGTTATCGTCTTCGCTCGTTTGATATTTTGCGCTTTAGTTATTATCCGTTTTTGTCTTCGCACTTTCCTTTTCTTTGCCTTTCGGTATATGTCATTTTAATTAATAAGAGGTACTTTTATTTCAATCCGTTTACAACATTTAAATGACAAAGATTATTATATCATATATATAGTATCAAAGGGTTAAGAAAATTTTGAATATTTGAATGTTTAGCAATTTCGTGTTAAATATCTAATAATCAATTTTACTCTTAATTTTGGCTTCATTTTAAGCTTACCTGAGCACAACGTCTTGTCTTAAGGAACAAGGCTTAGAGCTTAAATATTTTATAAATAATATCATCTTTTGGTCCTCTACAAAAGTTGTTCAAATTATAGCCCTGGGTTCAAAACTGACCAAGCCCGGTTGGTAAGGTAAACAACTTAAAAAGTCTTCCCCTCGGAATTGACAAAAGCTACAAAAGCAGAGGTTAGATATTTGGCATGAAACATTGTTTAGTAGACTTCTACTAAGATTGTTTCAATTACAGCCCTTGGGTCAAAATTGATTCCCCTCCAGGGTGTCATATGTTATCCTTATATGTATATAGTAAAAACTTAAAAAGTCATCTTATGTAAAGGTACAAGGCTTAGACCTTAAATATGTATATAATATTATCCTAACTTCCTCTATTAAAGTTTTTCAAATTTTCTCAAAAGTATCAAAATAGGGCCCGCCGGGGGTGGGGCATAGGTTTAGTAAGTATAGTAAATATTAAAAAATCATCTCCTCTGAATTCACAAAGGCTAGAGATAAGATACTTGACACGAAACATTGTAAAGTAGATCTTTACCAAGATTGTTCACATTATAGCCCTATGGTAAAACTTGGCCGCGCCATAGAGGAAGTCGGTAATTTTCATTATGTACTTATAGTAAAAACTTTAAAGCTCTCCTTTTCTGAAGGTATAAGGCTTAGAGCTTTGATATTTGGTATATAATATCATCTATATGACCTACACCAAAGTTGTTCAAAGCTGGTCTCTAGTGTCAAAATCGGCCATAACATAAATAGTCTGTCTTCAGGCAGTGAGTGCTTTTTGGGCCAATGCCTCCTTGTTTTAAATATAGTAGCATACATTAGCATACTCTAGCATACTCTCAAGTTAACACCAAACGTAAATAATTTTGATCAATGTCTTGTTTTTTCTTATAAAACTTTAAGATTATAATAACACTTTTTTATGGCGTTCTCTTTGGACAATCGTGATTTATTATGCCCTTCCCAGCGCCCCCTCCCCCTTTCGAAGATGTGATTTCCGCTAATAACTATAAAACTATTTATCATAAAGTCTTCATATTTCACATACTGATTGGTCATAACTAGTACATGATTCCTATTGATTTTGGGGTCACTAGGCCGAAGGTTATTGTCAAAGGGACCACTCATTACCTTCAAAACTAAATGTTATCAAGTCTTTGTGCCGTACAGTTTAATTGATCAACACTAAAAGATGACCACTTCTGATTATGGGGTCACTAGGTCTAAGGTCAAGGTCAAAACTATTAATCACTTAGTTTTTATGTTTCACATATTTTATTGGCTATAAATAGTAGATACAATTATACAATACAATTTAAATGAATAACAAGACATAAACATAAACAACACTTACAATTATCCGTTTAAATCGGGCTTCCGCTCTATCTCGGAAATGCCGTTCGCTCGTTTTACCGTGCACCACAATTTTGAAGTGGAGCGACAGTTTGCCGGGGGTGCTTCAAGATCACAATGGCATTTCTTTGATAATATATATTTTTTATTCAATCTAGCCTCCAATTTGTATAACTTACTAATGATAGCTTTCATTCGCTTTCAGGTTATACATTGGTCATTATTTATCTTTTTCATATCTTAACACTCCTTGTACCTATTTATGGCAAGTTTCTATAACAAAAATTACCAATGGTATGAGACAATGGCTAGAAAGGGGGCATATGTGCTGATCGACATTTTTGATCATTTCGTTCTTACCCGCAATGCATGATGGAACGATGGTGAAAACGCGATGGTTAAATTGTCATAATTGTGTTATTTATGTACTGATTTGACAAAATAAGACTTGCCACCAAACAAACATAATGAATAATTTAAAATTCTTTTCAAAAATCAAAAGAGTTAGAGATCAGATATTTAGCATGAAACAACCTCAAGTGAATGTCTATGGTTGTTTTCCCTTAGCAATAGCAACATGTAATGTTTTCACACTTCCATCATTTCAAATACTGTGTGAACCTTTTTGGTATTAATTTAAGATTTAGATTTTAATCTGCTTTTGTTTCTAGTTTACAGTATTACTTGTTCCTTGTCATGGAGAGTTATTATATTCAGATGAGCGATTTCAAGCCCACCATGGCCATCTTGTTTCTGTAACTGGCTATAATTATGTTTTTTATACATGGATTAACTTAGTATTTCGCCACAACATCTTTTAGGTCAGGACCTTTATTTATATCAAAACTCAAATTGCCGTTGACTCACGTATGACCTTGACCTTGATGGTCAAATAATTACATTTTCGCTGATCATCGCTATAGTTGGCTGTAACTTAGTAATTTATCCATGGATAATTTTCATCCTTGGACAAAACAACCTTTTGGACAAGACCTTCTGAAAGTTTAAACTGACCTTGACCTTGAACTTTAAATTACCCTCACCGCAAAGGTCAACGTATTGAGTTTCGGTTAAGTTGTCATAATTTTGTACTTTAAGTACTGATTGATTCATACGTCGGTAAAACAACACTTGTGACGAAACAGACCTGTGGAATAATTTAGATATGACATTGACTGTCACAATATTTTAACTCTTTCATTTATTTATAGAAATGATTCATACTTGACAAAACAACAAGTGTGACAAGACAGACCTCTAAAATTAAAATAGGAAAAACTTAAACTTTATGCCCCCGAAGGGGTCCGCAAGACCGTAAAGGGATAGGGGGAATCTAACTGTAAACAGATAAAAGAAAACAATAGAGTTCATTCCGTAACAATATAGTAAGGGGCCATTAGCCCTCTTGATTTTTCGCTTGTGGGATTTCTGTTAAACTTCATGTAAAACTGTTTTGGTGACACTTTTGTGTCCCTTGTTGTTTTCTCGTCTACCGTAAGTATCTTCAACTTTACCCCTAGTTTTTGTTTCCTTTATTTACCCCCCCCCCCCTTCACCGGGTTTCCTGTCCCCTTCCCCTGTGCCCTTTCACTTTATAGGCCTATTATTCAATCATTTACTTTTTTTCTTTGAGTTCCTTATCAGTTACTAATTATTTCTCCTTATGTATTATTTGCTAGATCGTGTGGGGTCTGCGTTCATTGAACGCCGTCTTTCCTTGTTGATCTTGTTTAACATATTTCACAGGATTGTTAACAATACACCTAATTATGCATATTCTTGATATTCTGCTTGGTTCTTTGGCACAGTTATGGCTCCTTAATGGTCTGTTTTTAGTACAATAAGCTTTCCATGTTACACCTCGCAAAGCACAGGAGGGATTTCCTTAAAAATTTTACAGGATTGTTTGTCACAAAGTCTAGTTGTGCATAATTTCTTGATTTCTGCTTGATTTTCTTTTGTACAGTTATGTCCCCCTAATGGTTAATTTTCAAGTAAAGTAAGCATGTTGGTGTGGCTGCGTTCATTGAATGCCGCCTTTCCTTGTCGATCTTGTTTATCATATTTTATCCCCAAAACCGTCGGGGGATTTCAGAAAATTTCACGGGATTGTTTGTCATCAAGCCTAGTTGTAAATAATTTCTTGATATTCTGCTATAATTCTTTTGCACAGTTATGCCCTCTTATGGTCTTTTTCAGGTAAAATAAGCTTGTCCATGCTACATCTCAAAAACCACTGGGTGGATTGCACTGAAACTTCACAAGAATGATTGTCACCATGCCTAGTTGTGCATAGTGTTCCTGATTTTCCTCTACTTTTTTGGTCTCCTGATGGTCATTTTCGAGTTCTAAGCTTGTCCCCATTAATGGTCGGTTTACAAGTAAAGTAAGCTTGTAAAAGCTTCATCTCCACTAGCTGGTTAAAGTTCAGAGTATTTGTTTGTCGCCATGTTGTGCATAGTCTCTTGATTTTCTACTTGATTTTTTTGGCACAGTTATGAACCCTAAATGGTCAATTTTCGGATGAAGTAATCTGTATTTGCTTTATCTCAAAAGCCACCGGTTTATATGTCACCAAACCCAGTTGTGCATACTCTCTTGATATTCTGATTTCTTGGCACAGTTATGGACCTTAATGATCTATTTTTGAGTACAATAAGCTTGTCCATGCTACATCTCCAAAACTCATGTAACGATTTCAGTGACACTTTGCAGGATTATTTGTCACCAAGCCTATTTGTGCCTAGTATCTTGATTTTAAAGTAAATGAATTTTATCCAAAACCACTTGGGACATTTCAGTGAACATTTATAAAAATCGTTTGCAAGGTGTCATGATTATCAAAGCTAAGTTGTGCATTGCATGCATGTGTCATGATTTTTTTTCGCACAGCCATCGGCTCTTGATGTTGAATTCTTTTAGTAAGAATTTTTTAGACTATTTCTCATACAAATGGAATTTCAATGAAATTTTAGGAATGATAGTTATCAAATGCGGTCGGGTGTATCTTACCATATTTTGGCAAATATTCCAGAATTTATGTCAAAGCTTCCATCATTTTCTTTTTTCAGTGACAGCTCTTGTTTTTCTTTAATTTTCTTTAATAAATCTACTGTTCTGAAAATGTGCACCAGAAGACAAAAATACTAAAGTACGAAGATTAAAAAAGACAAAGAACGAACTCGCGAAAACACAAATGGACGAAGATAAAAACACGAAAGCACAATGATTAAGACACGCTAATTATTGACTTGATTTGCCGATTTTCTGGGGGTTTTTTTGTGTGTCGAGATTTTGTATAGCGATTCACCTGTGTGTGTGTGTGCGTGCGTGTGCGTGTATTGGTGAAGAGATTACAAAGTTGTTCAAAGAGTATGATTCCATGCAAAGATCTGGTTTTCAGAAATAAAAAAAAACAAAAGAAAATCTTCTAAAATAGAGGAAATAAGAATCCCTACAGAAAGCCCAAATACGACAAAATTGAAGATGTTGCAGGCTCGGTTTGAGTGTGCATGTTCATGGACGGCACTGTCAAATACAAACTACCGTCCACGCCCCCTAGCACCGGCTTAAGCCGAATTCAACATTTAACATGAACTGGTACAATTTTGAATTTTGAAACATTCAGAGACTCACAAGGCCTATATTATAGATTTTATTTGCATAAGGCATTGTCTGGTAGACGTCTACCAAGATTGTTCAAATTATAGAGCTGGGGTCATTGATTTTCATTATGTTTATATAGTAAAAACTTAAAAAATATACCTGTCAAGAAATAAAAGGCTTCGAGCATTGATATTTGGTATATGATATCATATATATGTCCTCTATCAAAATTGTTTAAATTTTTGTCTCTAGAATTAAAATTGACGCCATCCCGGGGTTCGTTGGTTTTCCTTACATGTATATAGTCAAAACTAAAAACACTTCTTCTCTGGAATGACAAAGGCTAAAGGTTAGATATTTGGCATGAAACATTGTGTAGTGGCTCTGTATAAAAAGTGTTCAAATTATAGTCATGGGATCAAAATTGGCCCTTCCTTGGGGGTATTGATTTTCATTTTATACATACAGAAACAAACTTAAGAAATCTTCTTTTCTGTATGTTCAAGGCTTAGTGCTTTGATATTTGGTATACATTTATAAAATCAACCTTAGGTCCTCTACCAAAGTTGTTCATATAGGTTAGAGGTTAGAGTTTTGGCATGAAACATTGTGTTGTAGACCTCTTTCTATGATTGTTAGCTCACCAGTACCGGTGAGCTTTTAGTATCAAAGGTGGACGCGCAAGCGTCCGTTGTCCATCGGTTGTCGTCCCGCGTCTACATTCATCTTCTTCTCTGATACTGCTTGGCATATTTTCTTCAAACTTGGTCTATAGCTCACACACTTGCTCATATCATTTCAAATGGCCCCTTTTAGGGGTCAACATGATTAAAACAGAAAAATCTTTAAATATCTTCTTCAAATGAACTAATTGATGATTAATAGATGATTACAAAACTAGCTTTGTCTGTAGCAGTCTTTGGTAATCTTTTATCAAGTTTGCTCATGTTAATGTGATTGGCCCATTTAGGGGGCCGCTAAATTTAAAAATGGAAAAACCATTAAACATCTTTAAAGATCTTCTACTGAATTTTTGGATGGATGATCACCAAACTTTATCTGTTGTATTCTAAAAGGTGTTTTTTTTTATCAAATTTGCCAACATTAATTTGACTAAAGTCTATAGCCTTTACTTAAAATTATTTCTAACACTAAAACAAAGCAATTTTTTTTCTTGTGAGTGATTCAGGACCATCATTGCCCTCTTGTTTAAATTAAAGTATTTTGGTTAAAATTGGCCCTGCCCAGGGAAGTCATTGATATTCATTATGCACATTTAGAAAAAGCTTAAAAATATTTTCTGAAAAGGAGAAATCTAGAGCTTTGATATTCGACATTGAATTAGGGGACCTGTATAAGATTGTAAAATTTTAAACCCTTTGGGAGTCAACTTTTGCCTGCAATTACTGTTAACCTATTTTGTGATATAAATATGCCATTTTCATTGCATTTTATAAGCAGTCTGTTTTTTCTCGACATTTTTTCAATACAATTTTTAAAAATTTAAAATATGTATTAAATTTGCCCTTAGCATCTAAAGTGCAAAAAAAAATATCAACTACATGTATAAAGACATTATATTGCCTTAATTGTTTGCGGTAAGTAACAAGTATAGTATTCCATAAACAACTATTAGGAAAATCTAACAATGCTTTAACAGGTAAACGTTGTAAACATTTCCGCAAGTTTTGCTATTCATAAATAAATTTCAGGTATGTTATTGTTCTCGAAGAATATATATTTTAATATATTTTGTCCGCCAAGGAAAGATAAAAAAAATCCATCAATCCATACAAAGGCCAAATTTTTAAGAACGGAATTTAGTTTCAATAATAAAGTTTATAGAGACATATTGTTTTTGCCTTTGTCGTCTGTCTGACTGTCCGTCCGTCTGTCTGCATTTAGCTTGTCCGGCCTTCACAGGTCAAACTGCTGGCGGGATTTAAATTGAACTTCTCAGGAGTGACCAGTACCATCCCTTGTTGTGTACATCGCCGGCACGTTCCGCTTGGTTGCACAAAATGGCCCCAGTGCTATAAATATGAACATCTTGTCCGGCTTTCACAGGTCAAACTGCTGATGAAACTTCACGGGAGTTATCAGTACCATACCTTGTTTTGGGAGATGTATGTTTTTGTGACAAAAACCTTTCTAGTATTTAAAATTGCTGTTATTCATACTTTATTATGCAAATGGTGAGTGATTATCAGATTGATGAAAATGTTACTTATACTGACATTTCTCATTTTTCCGATGGAAAATAAGCTGAAAGAAAAAAATATATTTCAAAGAAGTGATTGACCATAAATAATGACAAAGGTAATGATGGATGCTAATAGTTCTAGTTATGTGTAACGGGTGCAAAAATGTTGTTATAGTCATTATGGAATTACTGTCAAATATTTTTACTTTGAGAAGTACAGGGTCAAACTCGAGATCTTTGGGATCTAGAGTCAAACAAGTTGTTTCATTTATTGTGTAAGCTATCCACTTGCCAAATACTTATGTCTGTTCCTAACGGTTATTTGTTAAAATATGTAGATTATATAATCAAACCGAAAATGAATTAAAAATAGTTTCTTCATTCATTGAAAATGAATTAAAGTTCAGAGTTCTTTATTATTTTCACTGACAGAAAATAGTACTACAAACTTTTATATGAATAACCTTATTCAAGGGTTATTGTATAGATACTAACATTAATGTATATGTGGTTCAGAATCGCATATCAGTTTTTATAATTAAATTAACTTACATAACATCTAACACTATTATGCACATTTACCTACCTAGATATTACAATTTTGTAGGTCCTTTTAAATATAAGATTTGAGATAAAATTGAATACGAATTTATACTCATTATTTTCTTATAGGAAGTGTCCAGGGCTACGGAAATGTACAGAAAGACATACATACGATAAACCGGTATCTATTGTAGTAAAGGAGTCACTGAAACTAGGAGATAGAATAGTAACATTATGCGCACTACCTAATGGAGAGTATCTTGCACAGCTTGAGTCAATGTACGGGTTTAAACTGTGTAAATTCAATAAAACTTTTCATACTATACTAAGTTGTGTTTTCATCAACTTCCAAACAGCAGGCATGTGTTACGTAGGTAACAATGAAGTTGCTCTTAATGAAATTGACGACCAACTACGGTTTATAGATGCCAAAAACTTAAACATTCTGGAACAAAAAGTTACTTTGATAGAAAAAGTGCAACACTTGGCCTGTCATGGGGATAAGATTTATGCATTTAATGGCAGTACTATCTTTTCTTATACCATTGATGAAACAAAAGTACGTAGACTCTTTGTGCTGCCAGAATGTACAATAGTGTACAAAAATATGGGAACAAGTATGACGGTAAGCGATAATGGTGATATTATTTACTGTACAAATGAGAAGCGGTCATGTGGTATCAAGTGATAGCAATAGATGAAGTTTTATGAAGGGTTGAAATTTTTAAATGATTGCACAGACATCAGTTGCACCAAACGACAGTTTTGGGGTTTCCCCCGTTTATTCAAACTTTGATTTCTCCAGTATGATCCATTGGCATAAATTTCTCGAATTCCCACCAGTAGAATTGGTATGTTATCATCGGGAAACGGTTACAGTTCATTGGGTCTGTGACGGTGAAGGTCATATTATACAAATTGAAAGTGATGGTACTTATTCAATGACAACAATAGTTGGCATGAAAAGAAAATCTATCTCCAACCCTATAATATATGACAGATCAACATCCAGTCTTATTGCGGTAGATGGTGATGCTATACAGATTTCTACAGTGAAATAAAATGACGTAATTGTTTTATTGCGCAATCAAACAATGTTTCTTCACTGAAGCAATGCTAAAATGTGAGTGTTTTGTTGCCCATTGCTGTAGATTATTTTTTTTTTTTTTTTTTTTTGGGGGGGGGGGGGGTATTGTCGATATTATTGTAGTTATTAATGTCATCTTGGTGGAGTGCAGTAGTGTACAGACCCCTTATTTACAAATAATATCGTACTTGCCAATTACATTGACAATATGAATATGTAAAATATGTACGAATTTGTGAAGTAGCCCATTTTTCCTTTATAAAAAATAGTGGAAATTTGGTCTAGTGTGTTGGAACACCCAAGTTTCCCCTGGGTTTCCGTTGAGGGGCCCAAACGGGAAATTTTTTCCCTCAGAAAAAGTTTTTTCCCGGAATTTTTAAATCATGTAAGTTTTTTAATATCACTATGTTTAACTAAAAAACGTGTCCCAGATTTGGTTTGTTAAAATTTTTTGGTCACCTAGTTTTGTCTATTAGTTTATTCAGATTTTGATTTTTTTCTATAACCCCTATTTGGGCCCTTTTTGTATTATTTGGGTTTAAAATTCCCCAATTCCCCAAAATTTTTAAAGGGGACTGTGTTTCCCTTTTAGGGGGCCCTTTAAAATTTTAAGACCAAATTTGCTACTCTTTTTTGGACAGAAAAATTAAAGGGTTAGTACGGGAAAAACATTTTAAAAACAATTTTAAAAGGGATCTTATTGTTAGACATAAAAGAAATTGATCTGATGTTTAATTCACATTATTCAAAAAGAAATCTACTCAATATTTAGAACATAAAACAGCTAAATATCATTTTAGTTCGCTCTACCTGCTGGCATCAGGAAAAGCATATTTATATTTTAACATTGGTCTAATACGAATGAAGTATACATTTGTACATATAATTACTAGTATAATATTTCAAGTCAAAACAGAAAAAAATCTTTGCTTGGTTTGAAGTAGACCTAATTTATTATTTCTGTAGGAGGAGTACAGCTGTTAAACCTATATTTTGGACGAGGCGCTAACAGTAGTGCCCAGTACTGCCAAAAATTACAAGTTAAAAAACAGATAATTATCTGTTTATCTAAAGATTTTTTGTGTTTTTAAATTATCTGTTTAACAAGATATATTTTCTAGTTAAAAATATAATGTTTGGAAATTGTTTCGGATACTTCCCTTGCGTTTCTTATCTAAAAAATAAATTTTAAGTGAAGAGATATCGGGGATTTTTTAAGACATTTCGTTCTTATTTTTTATTTTAACTTGGTAAGTGGTGGGCAGTTGCTTGGGATTTTTTATGTTTTTTTCTTGTGAATTTTATAGGCTTATTTGTTTTTGTCTAACTGAAAAAGTATGATCCAGTTTATTATTATATATTTTTTATCCGTTTTTAAACACCAAAAAAGTAATTACTTTTTCTACCCGTGTGTATGTCAGATAGTTAACGCGCGAAAAATTATTGGGTTTTACTGTTGGCCGTTTTAAGCCACCTACCTGCCATTTACATGCCATTTTTGGAACTTGAAAGATGTAAAACATGACACAATGCTTAAATGGGTATGATGTTATATCAAATTCCCCGTAAATTTTTGTACTGGATGCCTTTATTTTTTTAATTAAAGATTTTTTTAAACCTGGGGTTTTTCAAACAAAAACTGGTTCGTTTGTAATTCGAAGTCGGCGAAAGGCGTTTGTGAAGCGGACTTCAACGTTAAGTTTCCGTATAATAACTTTAGTTTGCTTTGGCTTTTGACACTGAAACTTGGTTGTAAACTAATGGGTAGCTTTATACCAAGGGAGTGAAGATTGGGGTTTTCCCCCAAGTGATTGATCAAGATTAAAGGTCTTCTTTCTAAAAATAGGAAAATCTATTTCCGCTCAATTACGTTGAGTTTGCTTTGGGCCTATTGACACCAAAACTTTAATGTATATTTGTAGTCTAATACCAAGAGGCACTTTGGATTTGCATACCAAAGGGTGTATGTTGATCAAGGTCAAGGTCACTCACAGTTACTTAAAAAAAGAAAATTTAGATTTCCGTTAAATATAGAACCTGATTTTCCCTTTGGGTTTTTTAAACCCAGAAAATTTTGGTTTTTGGGGCGAAATTTGGGATTTTCAAGTCTTTATGTCACTGATTCTAAAAATAAAAAATTCAGCCCTCCCCCTAATAAAATTTTGGTTTTGCTTAAGGGACCTTTTAACAAAAAAAATTTTTAAGTTGTAGGTAATTTTTATATAAAAACATAACTTGAGATTCCCCAAAACCCGGGGTCTGTTAACACAAGGTCAGGTCACTATTGTTTTTAAAAAAAATAAAACCCTCAGATTTCATGTACATTTTAAATAACTTTTTGTTTCCCTTTGGCCCCTTTTGGACCCCAAATTTGGGGGGGTTAGGGGAAGTTTTATTTTAAAAGGAAGATTTTTGGTTTGTTTAATTAGATATTTTTGGAGAAAAGATAAAAGGTCATTTCCCATTCAATTTGACCCCGGTTTTGTAGCTTACTGACTTTTAACCCGGGCCCATTTTTCTTCAGGTATTGATGTATTTTTATTTTTAAACTACTGAAACCACTTTCTGTGTTGCTACAGATAACAGCATCCTTTTTTGCAATGCCATCTTGTCACATCGATAGTTGGTCGTTGAAAACCATTGCGTCTCCTCTTGTTATCATTATTATTATTGTTCTTGTTACATATGTTTAAAAATATGTTTAGTGTTTGCTATGAGTTTCTAGTTTATTGTTATGTTTACTTTGTAAAAATTTATTTATTTTTTATCTTTTGAAAATAATGCTGTTTTTTTTCAGGGTTTTTACATGAGTTTTTATTTTGAGGAAAAACATCTGTAAAACTTTTAAGGTAAAATAATTTTTTAATTTTTTTGTTTTTAGGCATTTTGCTTATAAATGAAACTTTCGAGATTATCTAAAATTGACTTATATAATTTTTGATAATCTTTTAAGGGTATTTTTGTTACTTTCTTCTTTACAAAATTAAGATAAGTTTCATTTTAGTGTATTTTGCCCTCTCCAAAGCAAGCACTTCGTGTAGCTACTCATGTTTGTGGCAATTTTTGTTAATGTTGCAAGATAGGCCTGAAGCCTTAAGGGGCAAGTTCAAACTCTGACTTTTTTTGGAAAATTTTTTAATGAATTATTGCTATATTCATATATATTGTTCGTGTCCGGTTAAACAATTCTGCCATTGATGGATAAATTTTTAAAGTTTATGCCATAAAATGTGTTTTGACATAATTGAGATGTTGGCGTGTGCAAAAATTTGGGTCCCCACCTCAAAGGTCAAGGGTCACCACAGTCTCATGATATGAATCATTTTATTAAAAATCATGTTTGGTTGTGTCCGGCCCCCATTTTTTTATTTATGGGGTGGTTTTTTATAATAATTTAGAAATTAAACTGATTTTGGGGGTGTCGCGCATAGGGTATTTTCCCCCAGTTTTTAAAGGTAATTTTAAAGGCAATTTTATTTTTAAAAACTTGATGTTTTTAAATTTAGTTTGTTTCTTTTTTGGCATATTTTTTTAAATCTTTTAGCATAAAATGAAAGATTTTAATGTATTTTGGGCCCCGCATAGGGGGTCAGGTGTCCCATTTCCCAAAGGAAAGGGTTCACATTTTCGTTTTGAATTTTGGGCTTCTTTTTTGGGGCATAGCTTTAAATAACGGTATATTTTTGAAATAATGATCCCAAAAAATATGCGTTTATTAGAAGATTGTTTAGGTTTTTGTTTTTTTTGGGTTTTTTAACGTCACATCGACACAATATATTTTTCTATCGCAAATTTTTCCCAGCTTTAGGGTGGGGGGGAAGCCCTTTCGGGTGCCCTTCCGTCCCTTTTTTTAAAGGCACAAACGGGCCCACCTGGGTGGGAGCCACCGCCCGTTCCGTAAGCAAAGGTTTTTGGAAATGGTTTCCCTCCCCATGAAGAATCCAAACCCCTGTGGGATTCGACCACACCCGGGGTTGGGGGCAAGTGATTTGAATTCAACGATATTTTGTAATAAATAAATTAAAACCACAGCAGGCGGAAAGGGGAAAAACCCCCAAATTTTGCCCAAAGGGGTTTATGATATAATTGCAATTTAAATTAGCTATATCACTCTAGTCTTTTCTTTTAAATCAGTGAGATTTTTTTTCATTTTTTTGTTTAAAATTTATAGGGGTTCCCCTTAAAAAGGTTTGGGTTGTGTTTTTGGGTTAAAGGGGGATTCAAAAGTCCGATTTGACTTTAAAGGGTTTTCAGCTAGTTTCATAAAAAGTGCATGTGGTTCACGGGGTATTAAAATCCATCAATTTTGTGTCATCTATGAATGGATTTTGAAGGAAAAAGCAAAATTTGCAGCAGCTTTATTTAGGAAAACTTTGTCCACACGCAATCGCCAGGTGGAAGTGGGGATGAATGGTAATTTATACTTTTCATGGCTTAAATAGTACCAATTCATTTTTTGGTTGTTTTGGTCATATCTGTCATTCTTCCCATGGACGCTTTTTGAAATAATTGTCTTATAAGCCGGCTTATTGAAAAGAGGATAAGGGAAAGTTGTTTTTTTATTTTTATATTTTTGTTACACTCTTTTTCTGGGTTCCTCT